TGGTCAAAGCTCGGGGCAGGGTGGGATATGCTACTGGCATCTAGCCGGTAGAGGCCAGGGATACTGCGAAACATCCTGGAATGCACAGGACAGCTCCACAGCAAAGAATTATCCTGACCAAAATGGCAATAGTGCTGAGGTTGAGAAACTCTCCTAACTGTATTATTCTTTTGTCCTTCCCTTCACTATGTCCCAGGAGTAGGCAGCTCTTACCAATATCATTTTTTCACTCAAGAAAGTAGGTTCTTCCTTATCTGTATTAAAGCTCCTTAACCATTTTTGTAAACAGTGTTTCGGAAATCTTAATGGAATAAGGAGATCTGTGATTCACTGTGTATTTCTACTAGCTAGACTAAGATTGCCAGATTAAATACAGGACACTCAGTCAAATTTGAATTCAGATAAACAGTGAATCATACTTTGTATAAGTCTGTTTCATGCAATGAATACTTAAATATCTTAAAAAATGATTCTTTGTTTATCTGAAATTCAAAGTTAACTGGGCATCCTGTATTTTAATTTGCTAAATCTGGCAACCCTAGTCTACATCCATGAAACATTATATGAAACTTTAAACTTTTGACTGTCAAATCAAATTGTTGGCCATCGCTGCCCTTATTGCTCTGGGTGGCTAGAGATGACCACACTGCTTGTTCCTGTTTATAGGTCATTGCTACCACTGAGTGTTTCCTTCTGCTCCAAACTGACTACCTGGGCAGCACTTTGAAACGTGTCACTTAAGTCATTTTTATCTTGAGACCAACAAACAAGTGCTTATCAAATGCCTACTGCATGCCCAAGATCTCTGATTAGGACTCATCCTTGTGCCATTTCTTAGGAGACAACAACTTTGGTGCTTCAGGGTTTACTTTAAAGACATAGAGATATACTCTCTACCTGGCAGTTAGCTCCCCGCCCAAGAACTTCTGTACTATTTGGCCATCTCATGTCAACTAAGAGAAGCTGAATAGCCCAGAGGTTCGCATCCATGGAGCATTGACTGCCCTCCAGGACACCCTTATTGGAGAAATTTCTAGCCATCTGAAATTAAAAATAGAGCCCAGGCAATACTGATAGAACTTGCCCAGAACCTGGATTATGTGTTTATTTTATCTCCTTTTAGACCGATGGAGAGCTTCAGATGGTGTAAAATAGGGTTGCTTAGGTGAAGCAAAGTGTAGATTTGAGCCAGGTATCGTCTGTTTAAAGCAAACTCAGAATATAAAAGTGTATATTCATTGCAAAGATGTTGGTTGTTCCCTATTACAAGTGGCTTCACTATAGGCTTTTCTTTTTTTTAAGAGCAGATTCCCCTCATTTAAATAGCAAGTATTTTACTTTTTAAATACTTGATTTACATACACTCCCCTAGGTAAGTCATGATTACTAGCCTCCGGACAGACATAAATCGGTAAGGAAGGTGGGGCACTCTGAATATGTCTGTAATGTTTTGTTTTGTTTTTTTTTACCCTTTAGCCCCATATACATGCTTCTCTCATTAAACTATTATTTGTCAGGCATGTTCTGTGTGGTATGTAGTTGTTAAGGATATGAAGGTGAGAGAGCTGTTCAAGAAACTCACAGGCTAGTGGAAGCAGGGTGAGATTCTTAGGCAATTACAGTTCAAGGTCATCAAGTCTTTTGAGAGCTGTGGCAGAAGGCACTTGGGGCTTGTTTTAGAACCCCTGGTTTCTAAAGGAGTACAGTGCTAACTATTGTAGACCTTGTGCTTTCAAATGATTGTCTAGTTTTTTGTTTCCTTTAGAATTGACTTACAGTGCACTAAGGTATTGTCCATCAGAGAACTAGACTTTGAGCTTCAAAACATCTATGGTTCCAGCTTTGTTATGTGAAAACTTTTTCTAGTGTGATTTTTTTTTTTTCGAGATTGAAGTAGATCTATTTGTACTCAAATATTATATCAAGATAGGTACCATCACCAAAGTGTGATAGAAAAATGTTCTGGTGGTATTGGCAATAAAATTCATGGTGAATTAAGAGTTCTGCTGAGTCCATTCTTTAACTGAGGCTTGGCCTAATCTCTCTGTATATGTTACAGAGCTAGATTCTTTCTCAAAAAACTGCCTTTCGGTTTTCAATTTGATGATTGTATGTGTTTATAATATCCTAAATGGGAAATATAAATTCCTCAAGCATACTGCATATTCATGGTGACTATTCCTGGCAAAAACACTTGTACCATATCCAGTGGGTCCTGCCTGGATAGGAGTAAAGTATATTTAAGATGTAAGCCAGATGGGAAAATAGTGATATCCAAGCAGCACTGCATTATGGGCGTCTCTGCCTTGATAATTATGTGTTTTTCACATTTTTATATAACAAATAATAAGGACCGCTCTCTAAAGTGTTTTCATGGATCTTCTGATTTTAAACCTCTGGTTTTATACTTACTGTTGGAATAGCCTTTTAGGTAATTAAATGTTTCATCTGTTAATAGAGATGAATAAACTGGAGATTCAAAGAGATAAACCTCAAGTTCCCTTCCAAAAGAATAAATTTTTTAGTTAAAGTAACTTTGAAAAGCTTGGCCTTTTTCTCTTTTACTGGTTTTAAGGACACTATTTTCTTGAATGAAAAGGAATATCTAAAAGATATTTTAGTGGAAAAACTCGTGGTAATTTTAAAATTACAGTGATTATTTTTGTGGCAATTCTACTTTGGGCAAAAGTATAGCTTATTCTATGGTCATTCGAACTGTTAATATGTAGTTCAAGGACATGATATGTAAATGTCTACCTTGATTTTAGATGACTTAATTTATGACTGATTGAGTTTGTTTATAGTTCTTGAAAAGAAACTAAGGTAGATTAATTGTAAAACAACATACTAATACCCATTTTCAAGATGTCCTTTACAACATTTTTATTATGAGAAATTTAGAACATATACAAAAATAGAAAAGTATAAGGAAATCTGTGTCCATCGCTCAGCTTCCATGATGATCAACCATGGCCAGTATCATTTTATTTGTACCCCTTTCATTCCCTCAACTAGAATATTTTGTAACAAATCTCATCTATTGTAGCATCTCATCTGTAAATATTTCAGTATGTACCCCTAAATGATAAAAAAGTTTTTAAAAACATAGTAACAGTATTGTTACCCTTATTACATCTAGAAAAATTAGCCATAATGCTTTAATATCACCAAAGAGCGAGTCAGTGTTCAGATTTCCCTGGTTGTCTCATCAGTGTTCTACAGTTCCAATCAGGATCTAGGCAAGGTATGTTTAAGTGATTTGTCCCTTGAGTCCCTATTAACCTATCAGTTTCCCCTCTTTTTCGTTTTTCTTTGCAATTAATTTGTTGAAGTTGTAGTTTCTTCTAAGCAAAAAGAATACTTATGTGCCTTTTCAGAGGGAGGTTCCACATGAGTGGCAAGTTACTTTTTTCCTGTAGAATTCTCACTTACATTATACAAACATGTAGAACTAGAGAATTTTAGGCCTGAATGGGATATTGAACTATCAATCTTTTCTAATCACATCACCCCAGACTTTAGAACCTCGGTTCTATTTCACTAGAATCTTGATATTAGAGTCAAGAGACATTGAGACCATGTGGTTCAAATCCCCTCATTTCACAGGTGAAGAAACTGAGGCCCAAAATGTCCAGGTGATTTCTTGAAACCACACAGTGTAAGCTAATTAACTGGTGTCATTTCCTCTTTATTTCAGTGATTCTTAATGTATTGTGTGTGTAGAGGACCCCCTTTCCCCAATTCTCGCAATGGTCCTCTCTCTAGTCGACCTGATAACCTTTCAAAAATATTAGGTCTCCTGATCTAGTCAACTCCCTTTATTCAGAGATAAAGAAACACAAGTTGCAAAACGGATGCACCAAGGCAGCAGAGAGTGGCCACGCCAGGGCCAGAGCAGAGCTCTCACTCACGCTCGTCAGTGTTCTTCCCTGACCACGAGTGCTCGTCCCATCCTGAGAAAGGTGATGCTCAGCTCCGCAGTCAGCCAGACATACTAGTGTGAGTCCAGGCCCCCCTCACTGCTTAATAACCATTGTCTCTTTACGAGGTACTAGCTGCAACCCTCCCATTCAGTATGTGCAATTTATAAACAAACAATGGCCCATTAAATCATTAGATAGACTGACTTTGAGAATTGTAATATGGAGAATATGTTTGGAAATATTTGTAGGTATTCTGCATGTCGTGCCTGTAAAGTAATTGAAATCTCCAAATAACTTTACATACAGCGTATACATGAGATCCTATGGGATTTGAGGTATAGATATTAAAGTTTAGAATATATATACTGACAGTCAATTGGTCTTTTCTTTATACCTAGCCCTTTTAAATTCCAAGCAGAATGAACAATAATAATTTTATGATTTTAAAAAAACTCCAGCTAGATTTTATTAGCCATGAAGGAGTTTGAGCTTTCACCCAAATGTAGTATTTGCTCTCAGATCTTGCTACCAGGGGAATGATCTTCAGGCCTTTATACAATAGCAAGACGTACAGAAAACAGCCAGTCTGCACAAAACCATTTGCTTAAGATTCTCAACTGAGGATTTGTATACTCTACTGTGATTCTACTTATCAGAATTTTAATAAAATTAACATCTCCAATTTTAAAAGTATATGCCATCTGCCATACTTTGGAGGATTTTGGTGATGGGGGAAAAGAAGGATTTCCAGCTTGGAAAGGCAGAATTAATCTGAGTGTTTTGATGCCAGCCTTGGGCGTTTTTATCAAGGAAGTTTTCTGCTGTATTACTGAGTTTCTGTCAGGCTTATATTGAACTGTTTTCATTCAATCCCCAAAACAAAAGATTTAAAGTTTTTTGATGGAAAGGTGAGGTCAAACGGAGATGAATTCTGTGAAGTAATTGGGATCTAGAGAAAACACGGAAGAAATAAAAGTTCCTCAGTTTTCACAGTTTATTATTCCTTCCTTTTCAAAATACCTTCCCCCTCGACTTTAAGACCCACGCACTCTCTTACTTTTTCTCTTATCTCCCCAGCTGTACTGTCTCAGCGATCATTGCCAGGCCCTCCTCTTTCCACGCCTGAAACGTTGGAAGGCCCCTGGGCTCAAGCCCAGATGTCTTCTCTCCCCACACGCAGTAATCCTATTCTCTCGACACGTAAGTGTTGTTGCCACCGCATTTCTAGCTCTAACCTCAGCCTCTCTCCTCAACTCCAGGCTTATGGAACGTTCTGCTTACTCTGTATCTCCATCCAATTTTCTGAAACGTGTCTCAGACTGAACCGATCCAAACCAAACCTTTGGTTCTAACCCTAGATATCCCGCCCCTCTTGTGTCCTCCCCCACTGTAGTAAATGGTGTCACCACTCATCCAGTTGCTCAGGCCCAAACCCCTGGTGTTGAACCGGACTCTTCATTCTCTCCAACCCTGTAGTCAAGCCCCCAGCTTCACAATGCCCCCAGAATCCAGTCACTTCTCACCACTGCAGCTACCAGCCTAGTCCAGGTTCTCCTTTCTAGCCTGTCTTCTGCAGTAACCACCTACCCTAACTGGTCTCCCTGCTGACTTCTTGCCTCTACTGTTCTTCATCCACCCAGCAGCTAGACAGTTCTATTTAAAAGTAAGTCAGATCATGTCATTTCTCTGCTCAAAACCCTCCAATGGCTTCCTCTCACAGTTAGAACAAAAGCCAAAATCTAATTTACATAACAACCTTACAAGTCCTGGCCTTGCTTGCCTCCTCCTCTTCATTGCCCACCCGCCCTTCCCCACCACACACCCCACTTCAGTCAGATTAAAGAAGGTGTCTTACAGTTCTCCAAGCCTGCCAGGCACATTCCTGCTGGCAGAGGTTTTGCATCTGCTTTGCCCTCTGCTGTTAACACTCTTCCCACAACACTTAAGAGGTTTGCTTCCTCCCTTCATCCATATCTCTGCTCAAACATCTCCTTTTCTCCAAGACTTTCCCAACCCATCCCATCCAAAAGGAAACCCCCACCAATTGATTTCCATCCCCTTACTTACTTCGTTTTTCCATATAACCCTTCTCACTGATGTTAATTTTGATTGGTGTATTATGAGCATGTCTGCCATTAGCATGTAAGCTCCATGAATGCAGTGTCCACCATTGCAGACCCAGTGCTATGAACAGTGCAAGGCACCAAGAATTGAATATATATTTGTTGAATGAATTAATGAATAATACCCTAGAGATTGTATCTATTGCCCTGGCTCATTTGCTTCCACTGAATGCATAAATATACAGCTGGCCATGTGGTATTTTATTTTTTATTGGTTTAAGCCACTCCTTGCCTATCTAGCCAAAGCTTATGTCAGTTTCATAGCAGCAAAAAAGAAGGAAGTCAGGATCCTCATTACCTAGTACCACACCCTAGTATTCTGATGAAATCAACATGCACGCATAACTTTAATCTAGACTACTCAAGTTTGTTTTTCTCGCAGTTTTTCACAACTGACATGCCCTGGGCAAGTCTGTTCAAAAAATAATCATAAAATCTTGTACATTGCCTCAGTTTCCCTAGTGTAACGAGAACAAGATTGAGTCTGGGAGAAACAGACTAAAGCAAACAAGCCTGCACTTTCCCATTCCCTCTCTAGGATGCCACCTCATCCCCATTCATGAAGACAGACACAAGGGTGGATGGCTGCCACGTTCTTTTGTGTTACAAATCAAGTCATCGGAGCCTCTGGGAACATTGACCCCACCACCTGGCAGGTTGCTGTTTGTTCCTAAGGCCTGTATTTCTAGCTCCTGGGCCACTCCTCAATCACCCATAGGAGAAAAGATGTAATAACACATAGCAATTAAAATTCTAGTAATTGGCAAAGATTGGCTTGATGTTGTTAGAATTATCTAGTCTAGTGGTTCTCAAACCTGATTAGTTAACAGAATCACCTGGGCAGCTTTATAGACATACAGGTTCCCGGTCCCTCTCTAACACAACCGTTGGGAAAGGGCTCTAGTATGGTATACACACTCATACACACAGTCTCAGTCCCTCCACCCTCTTCTCTCTCTCTCTCTCTCTCTCTCTCTCTCTCTCTCTCGCACGCGCGCGTCCAGATAATATATAATCCTATGAAGCAAACAAACTAAGGTCAGAAAAATAGGAGTGGAGATGTTGAGGAAGGTTTTTCTGAGGAGGTAACATTTAGTGTGCCATGACAAGTATTGGGAATAACATTTTGGGCAGGACATAATGTGGAGTGTAGACAGAATTAAAAACAGCAGTGTGGCTGGAGCACAGTGACTAGGGGAAGAGCTCGGGGCACGGCAGGAGGGAGTGCCGGGCCCACATCACGGAAGCTTTGCTTCCAAGGTTGAAGGGTTTGAGTTTTGTTCCCCTACTCATGTCTTCCTGAGAACGGATTGCAGAAGTTAGAAAAATGGAAGCTGTGAGACCTAAACAAGACCGAGGTGTCTTCCGATGGTGATGGTGAAGGGGACTGAAGTGGTGGCACCCAGGAGAGAGAGGGCAGAGTGGCTTTGGGTGTATATTTTAAGAAAGGCGACAGGATTTGCTGATGATTGGGAAGTGGGGTGAGGGAGAAGCTGAAAACAAGGACGATCCCGAGGGGGTCCTATTAGAGACAGTATAGGGTGTGGCTGAGTGCCCCAGTTTCTCATCTGTAAAATGGCAGTTTCAAGGGACCTCCTCACTGGCTTGGTGGTGAGTTGATGTTTGTAAAGCACTTAGAACAGAGCTTGGCACATGGTAAAACACTCTGTAAGCATTAGTGGTGATGTGGATGGTGGTGATTCATTCAAGGTCACACAGCTGGTCAGCAGCAGGTCCAGGATGAAAAGCCAGGGCTTAGTTTCTTGCTTCAGTGTATTTTATGCTACACTGAGCTGCCTCCTTCAATTACCTTTGAACTTTTTTATATCTGGAGACTCTTGGTAGAGGGTTTGGTTGCCATGGTACATGAAGTGTCACACATCGTGACATATGAATGTCCCACCAAATACTAGAGTGCTCTGTGCAGCCTGGAATTCCAGATTATTTTGGCTGTCCATAAAACCATGCTATTCCAGACAAAACACAGGGCCCTGCTAGTGGGAGAAAGGGGGTACAGGAAGGGAGATGGTCTGTGGATAGATTTTTAAATACTGAAAGAAAATCTTCTAGAATATAGCTGTGCTCACGCTGTGCGCACGCCCAGGCTGGAGTAGGCAGGCACATGTACTGCAACGGGATCCTGGATACCGGAAGTTATACGTCAGTGCGTGCCAGGAGAAGGGAATAAGTAAAGCTCTAAGTGTTAGTGTAACTCCCCCAGATTGTCAGGTTCCTAGTGATACATCTTAAAGAAGTGTTTGAAGTGCTTCTATCTGTCAGTTTCAACTAAGCTAATTTTTTAAAATTGCTCTTTGTACTGTGCCTTTCTCATGAACCTCTGTGAATTTAATGCATGCAATATGTGGGGGGAAATCCTATCAGCCTCAGTCCCATCCCCCCAAAGTCTGAGAAGATTTTAGAAGCACGTGATTGCACCTACAAGTGTTTTGTCATTTCACAAAATGTATCTGAGACCGTGTTCAGTGTGTCTTGCAGAAAAGAATTTCAGAAACAGGTGAGAGAAAATGCCGACTCTGCCTTCCTCCCTGCTGTTGACTGTTTTGTTGCACCTCTATCTCAAACAGCATGGAGAGAACTGTTCTTCATTACCAGGGAATGTGAGTCATTCCCAGACTTGTGTGATTGGGATTCCAAAGCATTGCTGTATCCAATGGTCTTATTAAATCCAAGTGTCAGTGCAGCCTTTCAGACTGTAGGGGAGAGCTCAGTTACAGCTGGTGACCTGGTTCTAGTTACCACACAGGGACCCTGGCGAGAGCAGTGACTCCCTCCGAGCACCCAGAACTCCTCATGGATGGCTGTTACCCGCTCTTCCTGGATTTGGGGGTATACTTCATGGGCTTCAGTGCATTTCAGCTCCCTGTTTCTATCTTAGTTGGGATCTGCCTACTTCGAGGGACAATGTTCTAGTGTCTGTAGATAAACTAGTGCCAAGATTAGCCCAGCATTTGGAGGGTACCTTGATTCAGATTTACTCAGCCCTAGCAGTGTTAATATTCTTATGTCCAGGATCTAGCAAGACACTGTCCATTTCCAGCTTGATCCAAACAAAACAAATAAAACATCAACCAGAGAGGGAGGAGACCATAAATGTTGCCAGAAAATTACTTTGCTTTGTCTTTTCTTTCTCCTAGAATGTTTCACAGCCAATGGTGCAGATTATAGGGGAACACAGAACTGGACATCACTGCAAGGCGGGAAGCCATGTCTGTTCTGGAACGAGACTTTCCAGCACCCATACAACACTCTGAAATACCCCAACGGGGAGGGGGGCCTGGGCGAGCATAACTATTGCAGGTAAGGTGGGACCGCACGGTACTTAAAAAAAAACCCAAAAACCTCTGGTCTCCTCTTTCAATCTTTTCCAACCTTGCCCACAGCTAGGGAAAGCATCTTTGTCTCCTTTTGGCCAACTCAGAAGGCCTTTCTCATTACTATTTTTAAAAATCTTTCTCTTATACCTTGTGTGCGCAGCCACACATACAATCTTCCACTCTTTTCAACTTGAGTTGCTTTGATACTGGTTATCAGAGCTCTACTTTCCTGTCTGATCACTTGCATGTCTCTTTGCAGCAGATTTTCTCAGTTGGCCCTTCCACCAGTGGACAATCTCAGACAGCAAAGCTTCTTAAGCTGTTGTGAATGTAGCGGTCAAGCAAAAGCACCATCTGTGGCCCAAATGCCCCTTTGCTTCTGAGTAAGAAAAGCTGCCCTGCATTAACCCACCTTCTGCCAGCCCAGAATAACCTTTCTCTGGGAGTGGTGGCAGCCATCAACTGACTGAGGTGGATCTTTACTCTTCACCTGTCTGACTCTAGCAGGAACTCTTAACCTGAGACCTATGGAGCTTCAAATGTGTACTTGCAATTTTCTGGGGAAATTATCCATGACTTTGATCAGATTCCCAGTTATTAATGATCCAAAACAAGTAAAAAAATTACCGGTCTGTAGGAATCAGAGCAAAAATTCTAAGCACTTTTGGTTACAGCTTTGTTTTAGCTATTTATACCCAAGATCCCAGTAATGTGACTCATGGTTCAACACTGAGTCGAATTTAATTATTATTAAGACAGGTGCAAAGACAGCCCCCTGAGTCACTGTGACAGGGAAAAGTGATTCCTAAATTATGCTTTGAATCACACATGGTGTCCCTGGTTCCACCAATATGTTGGAAATTCAACCATGGCATGTTGACCCAGCTGAGCCAACATATTTGTACCTGCATTGCATAGGCTACACTGTTTACCTTTTGCCCTCTCTAGTACTTTTGTTAACACTCTAGGACCCTTGTGGTTGTCTTGAAGTCACCAGGCCTGTAGTCTATGTTTATTATCCCTGTGTGTTCAGCTCTTTCCTTTTTTTTCCTCCTGCCAGTGTTGCATTATTTTTCAGTTTGTTACTATAAAAGTATAAAAAGCTTTTCCAAAAAAATTCTCAAAAACTACAGACATATTATTTAAATAAAGTCCCGTATTTTACCTCTTTCCCTCCAAATGCCTACCACGCCACGCCCCACTTCCCAGGGGTAACAATTTGTATATATGCTACTTGACATTTTGCTGTTTTTTGTATTTTATTGTTAAAGTTTTGCACGCTCATTAAGTAATTCTTTGACAATTTATTTTCAAAACTACAAGTTCATTAAAATTTTTTACATAATTAAAAATTTAACCCCACTTCATGTCTGGCTTATTTCTTTCTCCTAGTTTTTCTATTCATAGGAATAGTTGGGTTAGGAAGAGTTTTTAAGAAGAAAAACTAGTGTTCTTTTTGTTTTTTACATAGTTACTTACATTCTTGTTCTAAAGAGTCTCTTGCTTTCTATCAAGCAAGTCTTGCCAAAAGAGCTCCTGTTTTTAAGCCTGACTTTAAGGTAAATTTGAAATACCCAGTGAGGTTTAATTTATGTGAAAAATATATTTTCTCCTAGGTCAGCAACCTGTTCTCTCCACAGACTCCCAGAAATGCACTAGTAAATTAAGAGCGCAGTGAGAGCCAGGGACCACCACTGTCCTCCCTAGCCCGGGCCTGCTGCAGCTCTCCCCTGCACCGATTTGATGGAATGTACCAGACCTTAACTACCAGTTTATGCTGCAAAAAGAGAAGTTGAAATTGTTGATTGTTATCACATCAGAGAGTCTGGGCCTTTTGTTTTTAGCCCTGCAGTGAAGTCAAAGATGAATTTCCTTGTTCTCTATTAAGCTATTCTGATGCTTTTCAGAATGGTTTTGACATTGATAACAAACAGTTGTTTTCTGAGGTCTTTACCAAATACTACATCAAAGCTGAATGCTGAATAGAGGCAGGAAAATGACAGTGAAATACTGTTTAAAGAAGGGCTTTGTACAAGTTCTCCTACTTTGATTTCTCAGCTGACATCCGACACTGTGTTTGTCTTATGTGATGTTTCCAGATCCATCACAGCTGAGATGTCTGAGAGATGGCGAGTGATGGGAACGCACTTTTCTGGGCTTGACATATCTGGATCAGAAGGGAAGACAGGGAGACGGGAGGAGCAGAATTGGCGCTGGCACCTGCCTTTGGGCATAAAAAATAAAAGGACCCTTTGTGCTTTAGGGTGTCTTATCTTCTGGGTCACACAATAGGCTTATCCCTCTCAGGCCCGATAGGGGTTTCTCCAAAGCTCCGGCTGCTGGGTCTTTGTGCCCATTTCCGGCCTAACCGGAGTGTCAGGTTTCCAGTGTTCTGAGTCTAAATAAAGGGAGCTCGGGAAGCAGTGGAGAGAGGCGAGGCTTTTCTGTGTGTCCAGTAACCCCTGCCATTTTTTCTGTTCATTTCTGCAGTGTTGCCCATTAATGTCAGGGCATCGCTGCATTGAAAAGACCTCAAAGGGCATTTATTCCAATACACTCTTTTAGAAATGTGAAATTAATCTTTTAAAAATTTTATTGCTCTATCAGAAGTTGGTACCAGGATTACAGGACTGTAGGTTCTGATTGAAACTCTTTGGCCTAGTGTTCTTCAGAATTCTCTGAGAAGTTAGTATTTTGACATAGGAATAGGACCCATTTCTATGAAATGAGTTGACCAGCCTGATCCTGGTGAAAGCTTGTCAGTGGAGACTATATTATGTAAATTTTCCATATTAATAACATGGGTCTCTGCACCACATTTTGGCTACCTGCCTAGCATTCCCTTATATGGCTATAGCATATTTATTTAACCAATCCTTAATTGGTATTTCTAAATTTTTTGTATTATAAAAATACTGTGATGAACACCTTTCTAAGTAAAGACTTCCTTAAAGTACCAAAGGAGAAATTGCCAAGCAAAGGGGCTTTGACTCTAATTACCAAATTGCCATCCTGACTATTTACAACATTCACATTCTTATCTGCAGCAGTTAAGCAGCAGAGAAGGTACCTGTGCTCTCTCAGCCATGGAAATGGCCACACTCACACTTAAGGTGCCAGTGCTCTTTACCTGATTTGTTCAGTGTTCAGTTGTTCCCGTTACACTGGAGCGAATTTGTATAAACATTATCACCCTTGCTTACTCTCTCTCTACCCCTTCCTGCCCCCCGAACTCTGAAGGGTATGTTGGAAGAGAAAAGTGTTAGGAATTTTTCCTTCCTAAGAGATGGCATTGAGGTACATACCAATTATGAAAAATAACAGAAGCTGAAGCGTTCCCTTTTGGTAAAACTGAAAAAGCAATGAGCCAGTTGACATAAAATGATGGAAATGTTACTGTGTGTCCTTTTCCCCAACAGAAACCCAGATGGAGATGTGAGCCCCTGGTGCTACGTGGCAGAGCACGAGGACGGTGTCTACTGGAAGTACTGCGAGATCCCCGCTTGCCAGAGTAAGACTCCACCGCGCCGCCCGCAGGGTTCAGGACCCTGGACACTGAGAGTGTGGAGTGGGAAGGCCGCTGCCACAGGGCCGGTAGTTCAGGCAGGCGGATTTCATGAAGCAGGTGAAAGGAGAAGCCCTCCCGGCCTGAGGATTCGCACTTTTCTTGGTGGAGCTTTTCAGAAACGGGGATGCCTGGCTCCCTCAGGATCCCATTTCCTTGACGGATAAGCTCAACCAGAATTTCTGCTTCTACTCAGTTTCCTCATGCTTAGTCTTTCATCAATAGAATCAATAGAGATGACAACAGTAGCTCCGTAGCAAGCCAGGAAAAACACCTTGTATTTTCGAAACGGTGTTTTTTCTTGTTTTTTGTTTTTTGGAGTGAATGAAGCCAGTAAAGCTAAGTTATGACATTACTTAGTATTTGGATTTAATGTGCTGTGTCCCCTGAAAAATGATTTTCAGTAAATATTAGATACCCTCCAAAGCTTATGTGATAGCCCTTCTCCTCACATTAGCATAAAGAGTTTTTGTTGTTTATACAACTTACAACTTGTTCCTTTCTACTACCAAAAAGAAAATTTCCTCAGTCTTTTACTATGAGGCCTGTTTTCTAACAGTTCACTCATTTATTGCTATATTCAGTGTTTATGATATGCAAGATACAAAGGCAGGAAGATACCCTATGATGTGACAGGGAATCTTAGGAAGATACTTTAAAGCAAGCTAGAAAATGTTGTAAATAGATTTAAAGCACAGAAGCCAAAACTAAACATGGTACTAAGAAGTTTATTAATGTAGTTTTGAGATACCTTTTTAAATATGCCAAAGGAGCAGGGTCTCTCAGTTCCTAGAGTTGAAAGGCAGGATAGCTTATTCATAATAATTCTACCTGGGTTATTTTTCCTTATTATTTAAACCTACTCCTTGCCCTGCCTTTTTTCTCATTCCTCAGGTCAGGAGCCTGTGCATATAGAGTGATTTGCAGGGGATCTGGGACCCCTCACTCGTGCCCACTCCAGCAACCCAGATTCTTATTCCTCAAGGGGAGAGGGCACCTTCTAAACTGGTGCTGCAGACTCAGTCCTCGCCTTTCATAAATTAAACTTCCAAATGTCACCACAGCCTGGCAGTTAGGCCCTAGCTTCACTATCCTTCCAACCTGAGTATGTCTTGATTCAGTCCCCAAGTTGAGAAAAGAGTAAAGGCCAGAAGAAAGGGCTTTTGCTCAGTCTGCTTAATCAAATTTTTAAAATGAAAAACATCTCATTTGGCTCTAGTTATGTAAAGAAGGAAGGGGCAGGGGGAAAGAAAAGCAGATTTTTCTCGGTCCATTTGTTCTACACAAAGATAGTCTTTTAGTACCAGCCTATGTCATTCTCTCAGGAATGGCAAAGAGGGGATTTCAATCTGGTCGCTTTTATTTGGAAAGATAATCCTCAACTTGCATTTATAAAATATAATTTGGGCCAATGGGAACTGAATCATATGGTCACCGAAACTGAGTTTTGGAAGACAGAGTTAGAGCAAAAATGGTACAAGCCACCCAGGACCCTTCTAATTCATAATATTTGTTGGATGTGCCTTGCTGTTCCAAAAAAGGAAAATTTAATATTATTTCCTTTTTTTAAGGCCCTTTGGTAACCCTCTCAAAGCTCTAAAGCTGGCCTTGAAATGGTCTGGGTAGAGAAATTGGGAATAAGAACTGGGGAGCACCTAGTTTGAGGGGGTAGGCAGTCACTGGCTTTGGTTCTTTAGAAAAGCCTCACGTTCACTCTGTGGGTACCAGGGCGCCCCATCAAGCCAAGCCTCAAACCTTGAGTCTGGCGGAGCACTGTGCGTCTAGTGTATCTGATTAACATAGTTGAGAAAAACTCCTGTGATATTTGCAGCAAAAGACCTTGGTAGTTGACGAGTGGACTCAATTGAGATTTCAGCCTGCCTATTTTAGGCCAGTTTTGCCCTATTTTTGGATGTGGAGTCATAATTTTCATGAATAATACTGACCCTCTATGTTAAGCCCACTATTCATGATTAGCACTGAACTTGTCATACAGGAAGAGGCCTGTGACATGATCAGATTCTTGGAAAGTTTATATCTGAATATAACAGACCCAGCAGGAGCCAGGGGGAGTGAATGTTTAGAGACAAAGCAGAATGTGGTTGAATGGTGGGCCATTGTGTGAAGACCGGAATCTCTGCCCCTCGGCGTGTTATGTAGGGAGCTAAGACAAGCAGGGAGGCCAAGATGAAGTATGACTCAAAGGGGGGCCAAGAGAAATCTGAACGGTGCTCTTGACCTATGGAGCACGGATCAGAACTTACTGTTAAAAGAAGAACAACTCCGAGATAATTGGATTTGCTCTTCAGACCACTCCTACCAATGTGTTTCTCAGAAACCCCAAGTTTTTAGTACGGAGAGAAGTAATATAGATATTAAAAGCAAATTCCGTTAGCAAATTTATCATTCCTCTAGATTGCACTCTTTAAATCTGTAAGTCCTGCTGGTTTGGCTATTGAGGGGGAAATCATTTGGCTTAAAATCTATTTTTTGTATATCTTTCTTTTGTAAAAAACCATCCTTACCATTTCTAATTCCCATTTATTTCACTGCTTTAGAGGGACATGCCTGTGTGGACCTCAGTATTGCTTTTGCTTTGCTCTATTTTACCTATGGGTTCTTTATAACTGTGGGTTGTTGGGGTTTTTTTAAGTAAATAATCTAGCTATGTGTAGGGGGAGGAACCTGCAAATGGTATGAAAGGCTAATATAATTTTCTTTACACACAGCTGATTTGGGCCACAGGCATGAGAAACTTAACTTCTTGTCCCTGAGAGCTATTTTCTGTTTCCTATAAAACATTCACAGGATTTCTACAAACTCAACTGTAATTCATCTTTGAAATAATTAGCAAAGTTTAAATACAGACTATTAGATTATATCAAGGAATCACTGTTTATTAGGTATAATAAAATTATTTTAGATTATAAATCATACTGAAATATTTGTGGATGAAATAATACTATATCTGGGATTTATTTTAAAATGGTCCAGTCTTCCAAAAAGTGAGTGGGTAGGGGTGAGGGAAATAGATGAAATGCAAATGGTTTTTTAAAAAAGTGAACATTTGTTAATGTGTGGTGACAGGCTTATTATTCTTTCCTACTTTTGTGTATATTTGAAAGTTTCCATTGCAAAATATAAAGTTTATAATATTTTAAAGTTTTATAATATTCTAAATATTACAAAAATTAAATGCATACATATAACATTCAAAATATCTGGATTCGAATGTGTAACAAGAGTAACCTAAATTGTAATGCTTTACATGTAACTCACAGGTATCTGGGTTAGTTATTAAAATTAGTGATTACAGTTTTTGTTATTGAAGTTAATAAAACTATTAGGTATTTAAAGTTATTAAAACTGTTATTTAAGGTAGTTATTAAAGTTAAAGCTAGCTATTAAAGATAGTTATTATTATTTAAAGTTAGTTATAAAGCTTAAAATCACAAGGACTTTAGAGATTATTAGCTGTGACAAATAACATTTTTTAAGCACCAACCATATGCCAGACCTTATACAACATGGGAACCACAAGGATGGCATGGTCTGCAGTGTGTGCGGGGAAGCCCCTGGTCTAGAACTGAAGACAGACACATAAACAGACAGGTATATGCAAGACACCTACGGTATATGAGCCGAGCACTGAAGACTGGTCATTGCCCTGGCCTGGTGGGAGGCAGGGGCTACTGTTCATCAAAGAGGACTTCTGGAAGAAGCAGGATCTCAGTGAGGGGTTTCTTCAACTTTAAGGTTCCTTATAAAAATGTAGTAGTAGAACAATCACCAGGGATCTTATTCAAATGCAGATTCTGATTCAGTAGGTCTGGGATGCACTTGATACTCCTAACAAGCTCCTGCGGTGCTGGAGCTGCAGGGCCACACTTTTCAGCAGCCAGGTTCTAGGTGTTGGGGTGAAGTGGGGCAGGAAGGACATTGGAGGCAGGGGGAGCAGTCTGTGTACACATGCACACACACACATTTTCAGGCAAAGTCAGTGTTGCTGAGACAAAAAATTTTAAGAAGAAATACAGGGGATGAGGTCTGAGAACAATTAGGTGGGGCCAGATAATGGAAGGTTTGTGGTCTGGGTCCGGAGCTTGGACTTGACTCAGGAAGACGGGGATGAGGTTGAGGAGAGTGTGATGCGTCAGAAGAAGACATTTCTCCACACTTTCGTAAACCTCTGTATTAGAGATTTAGGGTCAGGCTTCTCCCTCTTAATCTGTGAGAGATTCTCTAATGATTGTAGCATTCACACCGACCACCCCTACGAGGAGGCCAGTGACAGCACCTGAGCAATATGGGACCTTTGGTCATCAGCCAATGACCTCACTAGCTCAAGGTCCTTGTAATGAAATAACACCCTGACCTTGTTAAAATAGGTTTGCTGTTCCTTACAAAAATGCAGCCCCAAAAACAGGATTTGAAAGCTTCCAATAGTGATCCCTAATGAGAGTTTTTAAAGCTATATTCAGAGCTTGAGTAAAAAGCCAAGGGTGCTTTGGCAATGGTGGTCAAGACAGTTTCTCAGTTACAGAAGATGTTTGGTTTCTGTTAGCATTTTCTGCATTTTAATGTCAGCACTGATCTTTATAGTATGTCTTAGCTTTTATTTGAGCTATTATTGAGTACCTACTGGGTACAAAGCACTTACATTCATATTATCTTATTTAACTTTTTGACAGTCCTATGAAGCAAGTGGTGTGTCCTCTTCTAACAACCCGTCACCTATTGCTCAAAAGAGAAAACGAGGCTAGAGTAGTCAAGTGATTTGATGAGAATTACACTCTGAGCCAACAGGATTTGAATCTAGGACTCCTCATGGCAAGATGAGTGCCTTTTCTTTCCAGTCCTTGAGAATAGCCCCATTTCTTTTATTTCCATGAAAACTGGGGCCTTGGGATGGATCCAGGCTACTGTTGAGGTCATTCTTGAGAATT